TTCTGAATAATAAAGATCTGAAGGAACAAAAAAAGAAAGGTTTAAAGATCTGAAGATTGCCCAAGCCCTGTCTTGGAAGACAGAATGGTACATTCAGAACGGTTCGCTCTGTAAGTTAACCTTCTTTTCTCAGATGAGAAAAATGATCTGACCATTATCAAAGCTGAAATGTGCCTCACTATTGGACTGGATAGCTATCCCATCACCCTTGACTCAGCACAAAAGAATGCCAGGAGAACATCTGTTTGTTCCCGTTATTAATCCCTATCCCGACTTTACCGCATCTGTTCTGAGTCACTACTGAACAATTTGTTGGAACTTTGGAGAGACGCTGGTATCAAAAATAAGGACGGGGACAGATGACAAGCACTTAGGAAACAAAGTACTACTCTAGTTAAGCCCAAAATAGCTCACCTGACCTTTTTCTAAGATAATGCATAGTGGAATAATATGAGTTGAAGAGAGAAGATATTACTTTAAACTAATGCACTTATTTATTTAGTAATTTTAAAAAGTTACAGAACCAGCTACCTTACAAAGTGAACTTAGGTGGCTTAACACCAATAAAAGCAGGAATAAAACAATTATGACCTAAGGTTGTTTCATTCATGTTTGGAGGCAGAGTAAGGATAATGTCATAGGGCCAAGGGGAGACCAGGTTTGTAAGGGCCTGGTGGTCCTGTGTTAAGCTGCAAATGAGGACAGAACGTGACTGCTGGTCAGTTTATTTCTGAAGTGATAATAGGAAAAAAAAGTCATATTTTGTCACAGAGAGTAAGATGAGTTGAACAAATTGCATCTAAAGCATAGACATCCAACTGTTTGGAACTATAAATAACAAACTTCCTTTTTTATATTTATTATTTTGTAGGGCTGCGTTACTAGCTGTCTAGGGCCGCATGTGGCTGTGGGCTGCAGGTTGAACATGCCTGATCTAAAAGGCTACATGAATGTAGACCCAATTGTGACAAACTGATCATTTTTAGTTCATATGTATGGCAGTGTGTTATGTAAAACTAATTAATTTACTATTCAGTGTATTGTACAAGTCCAGAGAACTTGACTAATTCAATAAAATATAACTTAGTAAACATTGGTAGATGACTATCATTATATTTATTATTACTAACAATATTAAATGTGAATGTCTGAAAAGATGATCTATTGGTAGGCATGCATAAAAATCTGGGTCATTGACAAGCCTGAAAGGTCTTGCTGTTCTTTGATTTTAGGGAAGTCTCAAATGAGAAATATGTAGAGACTTTTAATATCAAGACTTGAACTAACATTGCATAATACTTCAACACTCAGATTTTTTCAAGCTCATCACACACACTGTTGTAAGCTTTTATGATAACTTCACAGCATTATCCCTGAATTAAAGATGGGAAATGAAGACCTACTGCTTGAAAGGTATCAGCGAAACTTCATGCAGTAATAGAAATTATATTTTGGGCAACAGTCACACTTAGGGATTACAAATATATTTAACTTGAAATAAATCTGAAATTAGTTGACTACATTTCCAAAGAAAAATAAGAAGGGTTGAAATGCCATGAATGCATGGGGAAAATGTATCTTATCTATTCTCATGTTTTCATTTAAAATGTATCTATTGCAATTATTGTGATTCAGCAGATTAAATGCAGGTTATTAAAACTTCAGATTTGTGTCTTTTAAAAAAATCCATTGCATAACTTTATATATATAAAGTATTAGCCCTTGTAATCTCAGGTTTCACTGAGTTTATAAGCAGTGGCTTGCTTAACCATGGTTTATTCAGTAACCCATAATTTGTAGGTTTCAACTACTCAGGCATAATTTATAGTAATAAACCAGTATGGTTTGCATTACATGGTTGAACACTCCTAGTATGCTGAGCCCAAACCAATCTAACCAAACTATGGCTTAACATGGATTATGTAAACTCAGCCACAATGCAATTCATTTGATCTTGCCTTATTGTGTTGTATGAATCCAGCTACTCATGGTTATGTGTGCTGTCCAAACCAAGCTAAATGTGGTTTTCTTTTCCTAAAAAAAACTCCACTGCTAAATAAACAACGCCTTATTGCAAGATGCCTTGTGCAAGTGTCAAAACAATTGAAATAAAGAATTCTGAACAAAGAAATTTAGTGAAAATACAATGAGTATACGAAGGCCATAAACTAGGCTCATGGCATTTTTAATGTGATTTTGAAAATTGTTATGTGGTAAATTCGGTGATAAATTTGCCACCGTCTTGTACTATGGTATTTTAGAGTTTTGTTCCTAATACCATTTTTGAATGAAAGAATTTATCTAGTTTCCCCCCCCCTCAGCTTTAGAATTGCACCTACATTAAGGTGGGCTGCTTTTGAAGGCTTAATAGGTTGAACTTCGTTGCTTGCTTTGACATTTATACCTGCTTTGTCTGAGCCCCCTTCACTTCCTCTCCCGGCCTTCAGTTTGTAAATTTATGAGAATTGCAGCCGGTCGCTTTGGCAAGTCACCCTCATTAAGAGCCCCCTTTGAGAACAGGCTGTGTGTTGAATATTTCCCTAATGAGGACAGGACGGGGTTAAAAAGTGACCATTTCATGGTTGACTTGAACCTGCCTCCCGTCGGTGTTTCGTGGTGAAATGCCTGACCCGGAGAAATGTACTTTTGCAAACGCGAAAAGTCAGCTGGCCCTTTGCAAATAGGTCACACGATGGGGAGGGAAAAGGGGCATGAAGGAGGACGCGCCAGGGACCAGTTTACCTGAGGCAGGCAAGTGCTGGTTGCGGAGGGAGCTTGGCTTGGGCAATCGCCTTCCCGCAAGCTTGGGGCGGTTTCTCATGGCCTGGCCGGGCGGGGCGGGGGCGAGACGGAAGTGTTACACAACGCCTTTGGGCTGGTGGCCTCGAAGCCGTCCGTCTACTAGGGCTTCGGTGGAAAAGCTCGGGTTTGTTTTGCCTGGGCGTTCCTCGGATCAAAGTCCGCAGGTGTCAAGGCGGTGAAGGAAAACTTGGGCTTGTTTTTCCTAAGCCCGTAAGGCCTTAGGTGCCTTAATGTAGGTGCAGTTGAAAGTCAAAGGCCAGTGGGCACCCTGGTCGTGCTTTTACTCCTGGACTTGGCTTTTCCGTCCAGTTGCCTTTCTTGTGGCCACTTTAGCTCTCCGAAGCGCGGGAGACTGACCGCCTGACGAAGCAAAGTTAAAGCAGAGACCGGAGCAATGTCGGACCTTGGCGTCCAAAACGATAACTTTTCCTAGTCTGGAATCCACTTTTAGTTTAACTTCGCCAATGGTAGCTCACCCCTCGCCAGCATACACGCGGGCGCCAAGGGGAAAAGTAGAACGCTCTTCAAACTGACTTTTGCCGCCTTAGGGCGAGTGTGAGAACGTCGTTAGCGAGCGCGCGTGTGTTTTAATATGCTGCATTCTTGGAAAAACAAAAAAAAAACCCGCGGGCACGAACTTCTTGGCACGAGCTAGTGGGTGAGATTGAAAGCAGACGGAGCCTATTGCTCCAGCAGCGGGCTTTCTTGGTTTTTTTGCTTCCCTCAGGGGGGGAGGGGGCCGCCACCCATTTCCTTCTCGCACCCTGATGGAAAAGGCTGCCCGAAACACGGACCCCGCAAATCAGATACACGGGGCAGAGCTGAACGTCTCGGGCGGGGGACGGAAGCCACGTGGAAGGGGTTCCCCGCGAGCATGGCGCCTTTCCACCGCGGGGTCTGCAAAGAGCAGGCTGCCTTTCACTTTTCAGCGCGGAGCTAGGAGGAAATCTGAGCGAGTCTTCAGTTCGGTGACCTTGCTCCACATGTAGGCGACGGGGTCGCCGGTTTCCAGACGCTTGTCTATGCCGCAAACGTGTGCAGAGGAAGAGCCGCCAACGCACATTTCCTCCCCCCCCCACCCCACCCCCATTCCCGTTGTCTATTCGGTAGCGAAGAGGCAAAGTTTCCCGCTTTGTAGCCCCCTCCCCGCGATCGGCCAGATTCAGGGTCTGCAGAGAGACCGGGTTGGGGTTTCTTTGTCCCCCCCTCCCTCCCTCCTGTGAAGGAATTTTCCACCGGGCGGTGTTGGCGGCGGTCTTCTCGCTCTTCCAGAACTTGGAACTACGAAAGCGCTTCCCAGTTCCCCCAAACGGGCCCGCTTTTCAATCCCCCCCCCTCTGGAAGGGGAAGGAAAGTGAGAGTGTGTGCAAAAAGCAGGCGCGTTGGAAAAATGTGTGGCCAAGCTCTAGTACTGTACAGCGGTGATTAAAGAGGAAAGCCAGGGAGAGGGGAAAGGAGGGGGGGCTCGGAAGAGGGAAGGAATGCATTAGCAGCAGCAGCAGCAGCAGCAGCAGCAGCAACGGGGGGGGGGAGGGATGTATGCGTCGATTGTGTAATTAAATAATAAACCGAAATCCTGAAGTGTTTGGGGAGAAAGCTACGACGGAGGAAGGGCCAGAGAAAGGCGCGCTCGGTAAAATACCCTCCCCCCTCTGCTGAACTTCCAGGTCTTGCAGAAACCAGTACACCGAAGAAAGGGGAAAGAGTGTAAGGGAGGAGGAGGAGGAGAAGAAGGAGGAGGAGGAGGGGAGGAAACTAGAGATTGATCGTTTTGAATTTTCAAGAGATCATTTTTATTACAGTGGGCGTTTGAAAAGCAGGCTCTGAACATTATCCACAGAGAAAGGGGGTGGAGAGAGAGAGAGAGAGAGAGAGGCACAGGCTGCTGCTGCTGCTGCGAAAGAAGCCCAGCGTTTGCGCGCTGCTGCGAGCTGTTTTTGCAGCCTTGGGGGACGCGCGCGCACACACACACACACACACACACTCCCGGGTTGGCGCTCTACTGCACAGGGCTGTTGCAAAGTTTCGCCTGCCAGGGATACGCCAGGATTTTCCTGCTCCGCCGCTGCTGCAACCTTGAACTTTGGCAACGTGGTTGATAGTACCGTCGTGTAGCGCGCTAGCTGCTTTTCCAAAGCGCTTGGAAATCCGGGAGAAAGGGGAAAAAAAAAAGCAACGCGAGGAAGGAAAAAAAAAATATCCCGACCCCCCCCCCTTAACTCCCTGCATTCCATTCAACCCCCACCCCCATTCCGCCTCCTTCTGTCCCAGTTCGCCAGCAGCCACTGCAAACAGCAGCAAGAAGTGAACCGCCGCCGAGAACAAGAGGGTTAAAAGTGTAGATTGGATTTCACCCCGGGAAATCTAGCGCTCGGAGTGAACTTGAATCTTTGGCTATTTAAGGAGGACTAAGGGGCTGGCTGCGAAGTTGTGGCGATTCAAAGCAGAGCTTGTATCCTGATCCATCTTTTCCTTTTTGGAAGCGTTAGGTGGTTGTAAAATGAATAGATGAAGCCGTTGCGCTTTTGATACTTTTCCTCTCAGCAGAAGTGCTATATATCTCAGAGCGAAGTCATGATGTATTCTCCCATCTGTCTCACTCAGGTATAGCCGCCTTTTTTTCTTTTCCTTTATTATTTTTTTTTTTAAGGGGGGAAGTAAACTTGTATCGAATTGCACCGAGTATCTATAGTTAGAACTGTTCAAAGGAATATTCATTCCTCCTTGATTTTTATGGGGGGGGGACACTAAAAATGCATGTACTTGTGGTATAAGCTTATTTCAAGGTGTGTGTATGTGGGGGGGGGGACAGGCACGAAATAATATAAATATTTCGAAATGTCAATGATAAACGAGTATTATTAAATTACTCTTGCAGGGAAAAAAAAGTGATTAGAACTAGCAGCCACGTCGTGCAGTTTTTACATGAATTCGCAACAAAATAGCGATGCGTTTTGCAGACTATACTTAACCTGAAAAAGGAAAGTGTTCCCTTATTTTTAATTAAGCAATGACTGGTAATATAATGCCATCCCATGCTGAATTAATCATATATACTTGAGGCTGGTTTGAGAAAAGGTGACTTAGCTTGAAGGTTTTCTTTCTTGATTATCCTATACATTTTTTTCTTGATAAATTCCGGTACTTGAAACTTTTTGAAGTCAACACCCAAGGTCATAAGGAAAACTGAACCTTTCCTTCTGTATTAGGCCTGCAGACACTTGTGTAAAACTGAGTAATTTTGTACACTGTACATACGTGGTTTTACTTTGAAGAGCATGCAGACAAACCATACTTATTTTAACAGGTAACAGTTTCCATTCCCATAAGATAGTTAGAATTGCAACACATGATGTGATTGGAGTAAAGATTGGTGGCATAGAAGTTTCAAAAGGGAAAAAAAATGAAGCACAGAGTCGGATCCAATATAAATTATAGTACAAAAAATACGTTTGAGATGTTCAGTGTCTAAAGAATGTGACATTTGTACCATTTTTTCATCCATTAAATATTCCAGGTAGCATGTCAAATAATCAGGTCTGGTTGAAATCTTAGGCTATAATTTGGACAGGTTAAATATAGCTAATATTTGTGCAAAGTAGGTCTTCCTTATGTAATATTTTGGTTGGTATGATCAAAATAATAAAACTTTTCTTTGACAATTGGAAACCATTGTAATTCTATTGGACTGCAGCATTCACAAATTATGAATGAAGATTTAAACAATGATAAGGATTATTCAGTGATTGGATACAGTCCTGTAGCTTTTTGGCTGACACATTTTTATTGTTTATATTTTGTTTGGCATCAAAGTGTGATTAACTTTGGAATCTTTTTAGCAAGTAAATGGGAACTTTACAGATGCAAAACAGGTGTAAAAAGTGTTCTGAGGTATTTGACAAATTATAAAAAGTCAGCACTTACACATGTGTGCGCACATACACGTTTTATGTGTCTTGATAAATTGGTAGAGGCATGAACACTGTAAAATTCAACATACTGTTTTCCCTTTGTGTATAATATTTAATATTTAAGGGGGCTTCTATCAGCCACATAAAAATATTTGTTAGTTTCATAGGATTCCCTTGAAAATCCATGGTTAGTGGTCTAGGATTATATATTTGAATTTCTGTGGCGATAGTAGGTGTTGATGAAAATTTAGCTTAAGTTTTTAATGTAATATGCTTTGATTGTAACATAAAATATAATCCATTCTTGTTTCTGGCCTAATGCCTCAGTTCACAGAAATGTTTTAGAATAAGGTATTTGTGCCTGAACTTATTACAGGAAAGTATTAAAATTTTCCTTGGCTTATTAAGTAAGTTTTATCACTTGCTTATTTACCATAAGCATGGTATTAAATGTCACTTTGTCTTTTCCAAAACAAAATAAATTATTTAGGCGTGGTTTGCATGCCATCTACAAGTCTGAAACAGTTTTACGGCAAACCTAGTATCGACCAATTTAAGATAAGTCAAGTATTTCAACAAAATGCCCAGTAGTTTTGAAATGAAATGTATACTGTTTTTTCCCAAACGATTTCTAAGCTGGTTTTGCATTTAGTTTGTGAATTTATAATTCACAGACTTGAAGAATGAATAGATATAAGAACAGTTGGGACAAAATCCAGACCCCCCTCAAGTTTTGAATACATACCCTTTGTCCCATGTTTGTACAGCAGGTTTATGGGGAATATAATATTGTACTATTTTATAATATATTTATTGTTAGAAATCTTAGAAAGAAGAGGAAAAGAAATATCTGATTGGCTAAAAACTGTATAGAATATGCATTTAATAAATCTTTTTTTTAAAAAAGAACCTATATAAAAATAGTAGCTGGATGTTTGTTGGGAACGGTTACTTTATTGTATGGTTGTGGTTACCTTGGAGTCAAATTAAGTTGCATTGAAATCTGTAAGATACAAGAATAAATGAGATGTTAATAGACATTTTATATCTTAGAAACCTAACCTGGTTAAATAAAACAGAGGATTATCTGAACACATTCCTCCTTTTGTGTGATTAATATGAAGTTAGTTTTTAGGTCCATGAATAGTTCCCTATGTTTGTTAGTACTCACAGCTGAGGAGTCTTTTTTTTTTAGAAGTAGTCCAGCAGTAAACACAGATTTACGGTATTTTATATCTAAGCTACAGTTGCTAAATTGAACATTACACTTGTATGTGTATATTTGGCTATATCTTTGCAGTGTTAAATTTATTTTGTGGAATAATTTTCTGAATTCATATAACAGACTAATAGGAAGATAAGATAGAAATGGGAAATCATTTTTTTTCCTCAAAAAATGTTTTTTTTTATAGGAGAAGGGAAATAACATGAAGATTTTGTGGAAATTGACCCTGATCCATCAGTATTGTGGTTTAAAATAACTAAGAAGCTTGATTTAACTGTTACAAAACTTGCTCTTTGTTTTTACTGCAGCCTATGCAATTGCTATATACAACTTTTTTCTTATATTGTGCATCTTTCAAAATATCAGATTTCATAGTGAGTGCATTTTTGAAGAGAATCTATGTAACATAAGTTTTACTTGAGAAACGGTTCTTACTTGAACAATGTTTTGGATTGTTAACAATAATTGAGATATCAGTGACTGTAATTTTACTTAAATATGAATTTTATTCCACTATCTGTTATTTAATGTAGAAGTTTTAAAAACATGAATTTATTTTTTTATCAGATAACCTGGAGATTTATAGCTCCACTTTTATAGCAGTAAATATATTCTGGAAACTTTATATGTAAAATTGGAATTTGTAACCAGTGTGCATAATTTTAAAAACATTAAGTAGCAATAGTAATCACAGAGACCATGCATTTATCCTGTTGCATTCAGGTGGGTCTATACTTGCCTAAATGTGATTAAAGTAAAATTAAAATCCAAAACTTCATAGTTTTTTGTCAAAATGTCCAGTACCAAGATCTGAATTGTCAATATCACAGGATCTTTGATTGCAATTTATGGGGGAATGTATATTGTGAAATAATTTTTATACAATACTGGACGTAGTTTCTAACCATTCAATTCCTAGGCTTTTTAATATTTTCTTATATAAGTTAGAAGTAATGAAGGAAGTTTGTCTTATTTAAATACATGTTTTACTAAGAATTCTATAGAACTCAGTTTTCTGAGAAAAAGAAACTGTAGCAGTAAAAAAATGGCACCAGAGTGCACTGAGATAGGGAAGTCTTATCGAGGGTTGTGGTTGCTCTAAGCTGTGCTCTCTTCCCACACAAAGAGCAGATTGTGGTTTAACTCTTTCTTTAATGTAGTTTGTGCCCTTAAAGTAACAGAAAACTTAAAAGTCTCTGTATAGAATGGCTTATCGCTTTAGTAATTGCTTGATACCTTGTTTTAATTGTATTATAATTATTTTTATGCCTTGTATTTCTATTCTAATTTGATTAATATCTGTCCTGAAAAGGAAAGAGGTATATATAAAACCAAAATTGAAATAACATTGTAGGTCTTACAGTACTTGTTGAGAAGTCTTACTATAAAGTGTTATTATAGAATCTTGCTGCTATTACCTATAAAAAAGGCAGGATTAAGTTTAAAGAAGATTTCAGTAATAGTGTGAATGTTTGCATGAACTTTTGTTGAGTATTGTATGAACTGTTTGATAAAACTCTACAGGAATTTTGAATTGAATAAATACATTTTATGTTCTCAATCTCAAATATGTATTTTTAATAGGATTCTTAAAATTAATGACTTTTTTCCAATTAAGTATTTTAGTATTAATACATATGCTACATTTTGTTTGAAAAGTACAATTTAATTATATCAGGACTAATTTTAGCGTCAATATTTTACAGTATTACGATTTAAATTCAGTTTGAATTAAATATGGTCTAAAAAAATAATAGGTCAAACAAATGAATGAGTAACATTGCCTTTTTGTCACAATTTTCTTTCAAATCTTATGATAGGTGCCAGGATTATAGAGATAATTTTCCTTTGAAGCAAATTATATACTGTATGTGACAAAGACGGAAATTGAGGCAAAACACCTTAGTAGTTCTTATTGATCAAAATAAAGTAATTGCTAAAGTTTAATTTAGTCAATTGAAAAAATAATAAAATATAGAAAATCTATATGACTAGTTAGGTAAAACTTGTAAAAGGAAAAGTTTTCATGTCCAATACTTTTGTGTGTATTTCAGAAAATAAGTTTACGCAATAATGCAGTATTAATGTCACTGCTACAGAGTGTTAGATCACAAAGAAGGCAAAATTTGTTTCAAATTATCCTTTTTTCTTTGTGTACTTAAAAAGTTTTTTTTTTGAGTGGGGTCAAATAATTATTACATACTTGAGAACCATCCTTGAGTTAATAGCTAATTAATTCAGTGAGGTTTTGTACCCTACAGTGGAATGGAACAAATCAATTCCATGTAATTTTCAGTATTTTTTTTTAAAGATTGGTAAAGTTAAGCAGGAAACATGGCCAGCTGGTGAACGTTATAAGTACTCTAATTTTATTAGAATGGTATCTTTCCTTTGGCCTTTCTTGCCTTATTTCTTGATTTCTGTGGTTATTCCTGCTAGAATAATAATGTGATAATTGGAATGTTGGGTGATTGATAAGGGATTGGGTTATGTTTCATAGTGTTTGTGTGTGTCGTCAGTCTCTTGCTGATGACAAAAGTGGAAACTACATAGTACAACATTGAAAATGTATACCATAATGTTTCTGAATACGGAAGGTGAATGATTTGAAATATTAACTTCTACATTTGTAATATTTTTACTCATTCGTCTTAAAATTTGTTGTGCCAATCTTTGTCGTGTTTGGTGAACTATTAAATCACAGTCAAAATATTCAAAATCCCAGAGCCATTTTGTTTTATTTTAAACTAATATAATTGTATGTCAGTTTGGAACCAAGCCCAAGTATTTGGTGTATTATAAAATGTTATTGTGCTTCCATAAGTGAAATATAGGCATACATTTTTATAATATATATGTATCTTTTCTAGGAATTGTAAGCGCTGCTAAAAATGCTTAGGAATGCCCATGGCATAAGTTTGCATTTTACTCATTTTTTTTCAAAAAATAATTGTTCATGATTGTATAAGTAAAACTGGTCCCTCAAGTTTTGTTTTTCTTTTTATTTCTTCCAACAGGATGAATTTCACCCATTCATTGAGGCACTTCTTCCACATGTCCGTGCAATTGCCTATACGTGGTTTAACCTTCAGGCTCGAAAACGCAAGTACTTTAAAAAACACGAAAAGCGAATGTCAAAAGATGAAGAAAGAGCAGTCAAGGATGAGTTACTTAGTGAAAAGCCAGAAATTAAACAGAAGTGGGCATCCAGGCTTCTCGCCAAATTGCGCAAAGATATCCGCCAAGAATATCGAGAGGATTTTGTGCTTACTGTTACTGGGAAGAAGCACCCATGCTGTGTATTATCCAATCCTGACCAGAAGGGCAAGATTAGGAGAATCGATTGCCTTAGGCAAGCAGACAAAGTCTGGCGCCTGGATCTAGTCATGGTGATCCTTTTTAAAGGTATCCCCCTGGAAAGTACCGATGGAGAACGGCTCATGAAATCCCCCCATTGCACAAATCCAGCACTTTGCGTTCAGCCACATCACATAACAGTATCAGTCAAGGAGCTTGATTTGTTTCTGGCATACTATGTGCAGGATCAAGGTAGGCCTTTTAAAATATTTTATTTATTTATTTAGATATTTATACACACATGCACATGAATATGCTAAACCACCTTTTTTTAAAAAAAAATTGTAAACATTTCATATATCTTTATAGATATTGATAGGTGCTTGCTAATGTATACATTAGATTCAGGAGTATTCAAAACACATTAACATTTGTTATAAAAGTTGAAAATACTAGGAATGATTTTGGTGCACGTTACAGAATACACTCATATTCATAATATATACAGTCATAACAATTGTATTCAATTTTTTAAATTCATAGCCACTTCTTTGCCATTGTTCCGTCTTCATTATGAAAATAAAACTATTAAATATAAAAGAATGAAAAAAGAAATGGCATGTTATTTTATATATTTATATATATCATTATGCAGTAAATATAAATATGTGATACAGTTGCCTTATCAGTGTTCATAGTAAATAATAACTTCTGCACGCATTTTAAAACATTGCTTCAATATGGTTATTTTAAATTATAATGTAGTGAAAAACTTTTGTAGATAACATGGTTATATATTTGCTTAGATGATTTGCGTTCATTGAAGATATTTGATCTAATGTAGAAACTGTTATGTGTTTCTTATGTACATTTTTTACATTAAAGCCCCTAACCATTATGGTAGATTGTTTCTAGAACCACATAATAAATATGTCTAAGTTATAACCATGGAGTATTTGCAGATGGCAGCTTTTTACATAAATTGGCCTGGTCCTGGAAACTGCCAGAAGAAAAATGGATGGGGAATGTTAATACAAATATAAAACGTAAAATCATTTTTCATGTTTCTGGTGATGCTACCAAAAGACTTTGCTTTTTCTTAATATTCTTAGTGTTGATTTTGTATAATTCAGTCCAATATTGTCATTGGTGACTTCTAACTTTATATACTGTATGGTAGCTTTACTGTGAAAAACAAACATTTACCATAAAAGAAAGATAGTTCTCTTTTTCAACAATGAGAGCAGTTATAAAATGTAGACTGGATTCCAGTTTAAAACAAGTGAATACTATTTACGTTTCAATGTGAGTTTAGCATGACTAACTTTCTAAGCTTTGCTGTGATATGCATTTGAAAACTCTTGTAATCTAAATCTGCAATCCTTGAATGGGATTGAAGGAGACCTTCAAATTAATTTTGAAAGAAAAATAATTGATAATGAAAATTTCAATCTGATTATATAAACTATATATTTCCTTTATCTCAAAGAATATTTAAAAAACGTTTAGTAACTGAAGCAAGTGTTAAATATTGTTAACATAAGTTATGTTAAACTATATGTGAAACTATACATAGTCAGTGACTTTATGATGGAATATTTCACTTGGTTGCATATTATCTCCATTAGAAAGTCACCTGTATCTGAAAATAAAACGGATATGGCATTTTTATATCTGTGTATATGTATTTCTTCAGATGCTGTGTTTGCTTGCATTGAGAGAAGGATTCGTGTAAAACACTGGTGATATCAGATGATACCATGGATTGTGTATGAATTGTCAAAATAACTTCTGTTAATGTTTTCTATTATGATTGGACTTTTCCAATATTTTTTCAATTAGTGACAATTATGGATGAAAAATTGGTATCTCTATATTAGGTCACCTGCAGAAGGACGCTATCACAAGTGATATATATTCAGATAATAATCTGCTAAATGCTGTTTGGAGTTATGGTTTTTGTAGTAGAAATATACTTTCAGCCTTTTTTGTTTTGTATAGAAAAAGATTCTAGGTTTAAATTATTTTCATGGTAGCTTCCTCTAAAATCCTTTGGCAGGTAGGGAATGAATGCTGGTTACATTTCCAAACTGTATACACATGAGGGTATATCAAACTAAAAATATTTTAAAGACAGTTGGTTTTCTACCGAAGTATATGAACATCTACTTGGCAATGTTTTATCAGCGGGTGGAATGATAAGAAAATTCATGGTCAGAGAGTTGAAAAAGGATAAAATTCTTGAATGAATGAAAGAATAAAATAGAGCTATATTGAAACATTGGCAAAAACATGAAGAATAGTTTGAGAGCCAAAAATGGTTGCCAGTGGCACCAAGGTTGGCATTGGACCTTCTTTGTTTAGACTAGAATGCCTGTGATTTGTTGGTTGGTATCCGCATTGCAGAGCAGAGTAATGCTACAATATATTGAGAATTTCTTGATATAGAAATATAAGTCATTTTTATGATTTGCTGGAGAGTATTTTTCAGTTTTTCCAAATCTGCATTGAAGAAAGAAATATAGACCAGTCTACCAAGTTATGATATTCACAGTATATAATTCTTTTTCTTAAAAAACTGCCCTCTTTTGCCATCTTTTTTTTTCCAGAATTCCTACCTTAAAGTTTCAAAACACTAGAGAATTAAATTCTTATTTGATTGATGTTGATTCCTTTTGCTAGCTGGGGGCAGAAAATAGTCTTAAAATAATTTGTGGTCTACAGGTGTTCAGATGAAGCAAGAAGCCCGTTTTAATAATATTTATTTAAATGTTAACATATTCTAGTTAAATTAATTTCAAAATTAAGAATTAGGATTACAGTATCTTGCTTAACTAAAAAAGAATATATTTATTAGTTTCTTTCATTTGGAACAGGCTCTGTTTCAATCTATAAAATCAGTTGGTAATATTTGATTCAATCAGTACAGCTCTTATGCTGTATTCCGTTTCTACAAGAACCGCCATTTTGTTTGTCAAGTGCCAGCAGAGTGGGGGAGGAAAAGCAGACAATGTGCTTGATGCCAATAATGGTTGCCAGTGGCACCGAGGTTGGCATCAAACCCTCTTTGTCTAGTTTCTGAATGCCTTTGATTCGTTGGTTGGCATCTGCATTGCAGTGGGCACATTGGAAAGTTTTTTGACAATCACTGAATGAAAGCTGTTGTATTTATTTGCTGCAGTAGAACTTCAGATAAAAGAAATCCGTCCTCTAATAGATAACTTTTTTATTCTATAGCAGCACATTTTTAAAGTTCCTCTTTTTTATTGAAATGAACTATTTTGGTGTGTATTTCTTTTCTAAATAATTTAATCCTCCTGGTGTTTGCTGTTCTGGAGCTATAAAGAAATACATGCTTTTATTTTAGGCTGCCTAATGCATCTTGGGATATATTATGTGTCCTTAAAATAATTATGACACCACATAACACACATAACACACAATGTTTCTGAGTCTTATTTATATGTTATGGAATTGTACCATGTTTCTTATTTCAATAAAGTTACATAACTAATTCTGCTTTAGCACATTGATTAAAAATACTGCTTCCATTTATCAATCAAATAGAGATATATTTTGTTTTCAGCAAAAAGATACAGTTTATCCCGGTTTGCTTAGTTTGCATGCTCTTGGATTTCCAGATTGTAAAACATCACTTATTTTTGTAAGTAGCTGCATGAGTTGGCATCCAAGGCCAGTGCAAAGGCTAAGGCATTGCTGCTGTTTCCTAGATAGTATTTATATTGTTTTCATGCTAACCTCCATTATTCTCTTAATTAATAGGCTAGCAGTTTTACCTAAAAAGCTACGTGAAGGAAATCTGGCCTACATGGAGGCTGAAATGTCGGTGTCATGTCTGTAGAAAAAAAAAAGGGGGGGAACAGATCAGGTGACTGCTAATTTGACCTCAGAGTAACAGAAAAGTTGATTATAAGAATATAGTAAAAATGTATATATATCTCATTGAAACACCCACATTTTCTTCCTTGCATTATATTCAATTCACATGCCTTCTGTGTTTGCAACTTACATGAAGCTTATACCTAGAAGGTGAATTATCTTTGAGGAGTGGTAATAGTTTATATTATGCGTATCATCTTGGGAGAATCTTTTTAAGCGTACACAATTTGCAGCTGTATTGTATTCATTGGGGACATTGATATTAGGTCTTGGATATTCTTCTTTCCCTCCTGATATGTATTAATGCAGTAATAGATACTAAGATAAAGGTAACTTTTTTAAAAAGTTACCAGTCATAAAGGCTAAGTTAAGATACAGGTTTATTGCTTTTAGAAGGGAAGTATTACAGTGTACCAAATTGCAATATTTGTACACTACAATATTTGTAATATTTGTACAATTTGTACAAATTGTACAGTGTAACAATTGCAATATTAACTAATTAAATTAACTTTTTAGTTTTAGAAAAAGTAAACTAAACTTATATTTTAGAAGTATTTGAAGATTTGGGGAGGATATATTTTTCACACAGTGAAAAATGTAGTAATGCAATAATGTAGTAATGCAAAAACAACATAGTATACACACACACACACACACACACACACACACACACACACATATATATATATATATATATATATATAATTACTAATATTGTTAAAAATACGATTCCTGGGTATAGTCATATTATAAAACAATCAAACACGAGCACCAGGAAAAATTTAAACTAAAAGCGTTTAATTCAGTGCCAAGCTTTCGTCGGTTAACTACCGACATAATCAGGGCTTAACACCAGTCAATGGGAGTGTCCTTTATAGAGTTAGTCAGTCTCTGCGCCCAGCTTCTGGATCTCGTCATCGGTCCCAATCAAGTAGGACCGATGACGAGATCCAGAAGCCGTGCGCAGAGACTGACTACCTCTATAAAGGACACTCCCATTGACTGGCGTTAAGCCCTGATGATGTTGGTAGTTAACCGACGAAAGCTTGACACTGAATTAAACGCTTTTAGTTTAATTTTTTCTGGTGCTCGTGTTTGATTGTTTTATAATATATATATGTGTGTCTGTGTGTGTGTATGTAATGTATATATGTATATATGTATATATATCACACACTATATATCACTATATATATATATATATTACTGTAAATATATATATATATCACACTATCATAAAAACATATAAACATAAATGAGCACCAGGAAAACAAAACCCTTTAAAAGTTTAAAAAGGTTTTAATAAATAATGACCCAAGCTTTCGCCGGCTTTTCTGCCGGCATCTTCAGGGATCCTGTG